AATAAAAAATTCAATTTCAGCATTTTAGACAATTGAGACCATGATTGTCTAAATGTCTAAATTAATTTATATTTTAGGCATTGTCTAAATAATTTGATTTAGACACCCATCTATATTGCTTTGCCTTTGAACTTTCATTTAATAGAAAGGATTCTAAATTTGGGCCGCTAGCTCATGAGTTCTATATTTTTTAGAAAGGTGATAAAAAGTTGTGATTAAGTAGCTCCCGCACCATATGAAGCAAAAAATTTGTTGTGATGCGAATTTAATTATGATTCGCTGACTGACTGTAATACAAATTTGTGATAAAAATAGAATTCTAAAAAAAAAAATTTATTAAAATTAAAAATGGATTCAACTATTTTTGAAATTTATTTTAACGAAAATGAAAGATTATTAAATACAGAAGATTTCTATGATGTGAAAATTTATGTTGGTATAGAACCAAACATTAAGGAGGTTCATGCACATTCATCAATCATATGTGCCCATTGTCCTTTTTTTCAAAATGCATTAACTGATGCAAAAAAAGTAAATGGTTACTACATTATTGAGAAAGCAAATCTTAATGAATTGGCCTTTAAGACAATACTGAAGTAAGGTTGCGGGAGAAACTTCTCCAGAAATCAATCGACAGAGTTTCGGCATGTTACACATTAATTGTTTATTAGAGTTTCGGCAGAGTTTCGCATTTGGGGTTTTCGCCAATCATCATAGTTTCAACAGGTTACACATTAATTGTTCATTAGAGTTTCGACAGAGTTTCAACAGTCATTAAGAGGTTTCGCCCACAACCTTAACTGTAGCAAGTGAGAAACTATTAATAAGAATCCATCTACTTTTTATTTGTGTTTACTAAGGTTATAAGGAGAAATTAATTATTATTATATAAAAAGTGAAGTTTGTTATATATAGAGATTTACTTAATGTTCGTTATAGCTGTATATACAAATATGCATATTTTATTTCTTCAATAAGTATTATATTAATATAAAGCTTTACTATTATGTATCAAAGGATGTAAGATCACAAAATTTAAATAAATAAATTTGAATACATATGTTTGTACATCATGCAAAAAAGAAAAACTCTTTAATTTAAAGTTATATTCAAACGAATTTTATTATGTATGTAACACTACTAAAATGTAAATGTGACAATTGCAAAAATAGAATTTCCACTATGCTTATTCATCACTTTCAAAATTTTTGTTATTTTTTCTGTGAAACATTTTGATCTTTGTGTGACTTAGAGTCAACTCGAGTCAACTTGAAATGCTCAATGAGCTGAGTAGGGTTGTGTTGGTCTTTAAAAGACCAGTCCCTTTGAACCACAGTCCTAAATTTAGGACCGGTCTTGGACGGTCTTTATAAGACCAGCTGATCTTTCTTAATAAGGAATTTTTGAACAATAAAATTTTTATGTTATCTTTTTTTTTGAGTTTTTTATTTTATTCGTTATTATTATGTTTTATTGAAGGCCAAACTTTTGTTAAAAAATTAATTCTTACATTGTTCACTTTTTGAGGCTAATACTAAGGAACTTTAATAATAGAAAATCAATGATAATAATTTAGTACATAGGCAACCCTGTTAATCCAAACCCCGTTAATCTGAAAACCCTGTTAAAGTGAATAATTTTTAAAACACTAAAGCCAAACATATGAAAAATATGTTACAGTGCGGATCATCTATACTCAAAAGTTAAAATTTTTGAAATATTATATGATCCACACATTGGATTTTAAAAAACTTACCACCATTCAATTCAGCTTTAAAAGGGGAGTCTATTAATCTAAAAAA